AGAAAAAACAATTGCTCAAAATAAATATAATCAATAATTAACTGTGCTTCAAAATTCCAATAATTTAAAAAACTCAAAACCTAAATATTATTAATACTTATTATTTTTCTATTTATTACTTGAAAAAATTTGTATTCTGTATTGTTTTATCTTGCAAAAGATAGTTGAAGATGCTATTCATTTGCATTACCAGATAAGCCTTTATAAAGTTTCCATCCATTCGACCAATAATTTCTGAGGGATTTTTGCATCACGTACAGGTATTTTTTTTGTTAATTAGAAATTTTTATTTATAAATAGATACTATCATAAAACATTGACACCAGATAGCGTGTATAAATATATTTTTCATATTACAGTATTAGGGACCACTTTTCCAGGTTTCCATATGCGGAACCCTCACAATCTAAGGAAGATGAAGAAGTTGTAACTTGCCTATTCAATTTCTGTATGACATACGGCCATCACATAGTATTACACTGTAATAACAGCTGTGAATTCATTGCAAGAATCATTAAGGGACGTGAAATTTCTGGCCCTACTACCAAATTGGCCCACAGCAGACCGAGAAACTCGCGCTGTCAATGAATGGTAGAAAAAGGAAATAGAATTCTTCAATCCAAATTAGGAACCTGGATGAAAGAGATAAACTGAAACGATTGGAGTATTGATGTAGATGTGTTCTACGTAATGAATGTAAAAATCGATGAGAATTTTTTAAATTTACATTTTGCGAATTTTTTTATATGTTTATTGTTCATTCTTTATTAATTATACAAGTTTTTTATTTGTATTGCGCATTTGTTATTGATTATGTGATTTTTTTTATTTGAAGCATATTTTTTTCTAATATAGTTAAATTTTATTATAAAGAACTTTTTTTTTAATTTCTTTATGTGAAATTTTTTATTTTTTTCGTGCGAATGAACTTTAATATTATAATTATTATTATTTGATTGTATAATTTATCGTTTGGGCGTATAATTTTTGATTTTTTAAATTTTTACTGATTGAGCGATAATCCAGATCATTTCAAATTTCAAGGTCAATCTGGAATCGGCCTAAATCGTGAAATGTGCCAGAACATATTCATATTTATAGTGCTATATTTTTATAATATAAAATTATTAAAATTTGATCGTTAACAAATAAAACTTTATTGTTAAGCTTTGAAAATTATAAGTCGTGAGACCAAATCTAGAACCAAAGACGGACCGACCAAACTAATAAATTCCATAAACTTGGTCCCATTGAGACTGGAACCGACCATGACGGATCGTTTACAACTTTGTTAAATTTCTTTAGAGGTTTTTTCATAAGACGGTTTTTATTTCAATATAATTTTACAACGGATTAAATTATTGCCAGCACTATATATAAGAAGTTGGTAATGGTGACCGAAAAGATTCATCACTAAATAATTACGTAGATGTCTCATCCGTTTTGTGTTATTCATGTCCTAAAATTATTAAAATAAAAAACAGTTATCATAAACATTTAGATTAAATTTATAAACTTATTCTCTATTTATAAATCATTATCATCTACAATATCCTACAAGTCCTTATTGACTTAAATTCCGGACTAGTTCTTTCTGAATCATTATTATGATATAATTTTAAGTTAAAATTAGAATCAATAACGTAGTATGATTGCAGCACCACGTACTACCTTAATCTGTATAGAGGTTCGGACCTTAAAATATTGTATTACCCAACTCATTCTTTTTGCTTTTACAATTTTCAACCTTTTCATTGATCAAATATGACACAACAATCTACAAGTTATATACTTTTTAAACAAAATAATGTTAAGTTTCTTCCACACAATTCATTTAAGAATTTTGAAACGGATAGTACAGTGTTGTCTGATAATAGCTACAAAGTTTTCACAAAAAAGTATAACATTATTATGGTTTTAAATAAAATTATCTTTTCTCAAAAATTTGCTCTGGAACATTTTATAAAC